ATAACAAAATCTTGAAATCATATCCTATCTTATACTAAACAAAATCAAGGCTGGGTTATTTTGAGTTATTTCCTCACACTTTCTTCTATCTCTGGTGCGTGCAATATCTTGTCCAAGGCTCTACTTCCTCCTCCATTAACAGTTGTATCTTTCCCAGGTCCAAATTCCTTGAAATAGCAATAGCCACCATTGCAGAGCATTTGAAAGGGGACAAAATACACTTGTGGAGAGTTAAATTACCACTGAATATTAGTCTTGACCTGGCTTCTGTTCAAATGGGAGCGATTCCATACGGAAAAATAAACTGAAAGAAATAAAAAAGAAACAAGAGAAAGAAAAAGTACAGTATCAAAAACAATAGGAAATGAGAAAGAAGAGCAAAAAACTACTTATAGAAACATTTGTTTAAACCAGTTTGCTTTAGCAGTTAAGGCAGCAGGCTAAGAAACCAGGAGGCTGTGAGTTCTAGTCCCACCTAATGCAAGAAAGCCAGCTGGGTGATTTTCATTCTCTCTCAGCCCAATCTATCACAAATGGTTGTTGTGGGAAAAATAGGAGGAGGAAGTATTATGTATGTTCATCACTTTGAGTTATTTATAAAAAAAGTATAAAGGCAGGATAAAAATTAAATGCATTTCTAATCTTCTGTATAGCAGTTATAGACATATAATATCACCTTCCCCCTTCAAAATTACATGATACAATTTCCTTTTCCTCATATATGCCCCTTAACTTATTTGGTAGATCCAGAAATCACCGGTTTATTTTTATCCATTTTCAGCAAAAAGTCCCAAAAGGCTTTCTATTCTTTTAGAAAAATAGTGGTTGTTCCCTCCCTGATCAAACAAGTCAATTTAGCCATTTCTACAAGCTCTATCATTTTCATAGTCCATTCCTTTGTGGTGCATATTTCTGTATTCTTCCATATTTATGCATTTAATAACCTTGCTGCCATTGCCATACAGAAAAACCAACCATTCATAAATCTTTTCTAATTGACTTCCTGTAAGTCCTAGTAAGAAGTGTTCTGGTTTCATCCGATCAAATTTGAGAGATTTCCAATGACCTCATTGGCCCTAAGGTGATACAGAATGCTGGATTAGATAGGCCCTTGACATATTCAGGAGGATTTTTTCTTACTTTCTGAACCATCAGAAACATTAAATTCTAATATTTTGGATGGGCGGATGGATAGACTGAGATAGATTGACAAGTGGAGATTCAGGTTATTTATTAAATAAAGACACTAATGAAAAACTCAGATTTTTACTGGGTTAGTAAATACCCTTTGCAGCAGTTGCATCTTCTACTGAAAATTGTAGCAAAGAGATGCTAAGTTCACACCCCTGTGAGCTCAATACTATGGATTGAGATCTATGGATTTGGTTATTAGCCTTATGTATAAGGCAAAGCCCTGGCTTACTTCAGCTGTGGATAGGCATCCTGCATAGACGCACAGCCTAATCATCCTGCCATTAAAACACTCTGCAAGCTCCATTCAGTTTCCCTGACTCTACCCCGCAAGGGATTATGGGGTCATTAAATGAAGATGATAATGATAGGTGCACAGCCAAATAGGGAGGGTCCTGCTGAATATTTTGCCTTTACATTCTGATATTGCCCCGTTAGTGTTTTTCATTTTTGGAAGCTGCTTGTTCCTTCCCTTAAGGAAAGGCTTATATTTTATTGCTATAAATATGTAATGGTAAAATCATAAAAAGAAAATGTTGAATCAGTTGACTTGAAATTTAATCCTGTGGAACCTGAAACACTGAGATAAAGCAAACATCCTTTTTTCCATTGTGAAATGCCAACAGAGCCCAATGCTGCTTATTCACAACATAATTATTGCTGTTGGTTGTTTTTTTTTTAGTGGCTGGTGGCTGCACAAACGTAGTAGCTTACCATTTGGTCAAAAGAACAAAAATGTACCAAACTAGGTGGAGTTAAAACAGGGCATGGAGGTACACAGTGATGTGAACATTATTTCTAAGACGATGTGGCTGAAACTGTTATCTTCTTTGCTGCCTGGGATAAAAACTAAATCAGGTAAAGTTGTTTACCACTCACCCAACCCAACTCTGTGGTTTAAATGCCTGGAAGTCATCGTTATTCACCTGAAATGAATATGCAGGTAGCTAAGGGCAAGGCTATACTTGTGAAGAGTCATTATGATCCACCACGCCTTCTTTTTGTCTCTTTTCCTCCCCACAGGGTGCAGGTAGTACAGGACAGCAACATTCTTCCCACAAAAGGTCTAAAGATCAGGTGAAGGTAGACTTGGTGAGGCAGATAAAAAGGAAGGCATTCTTTTCTTCCAAACTGGTCCATCCAGAAACAGAAACTCTCAACTGGAGAGAAAGTTGACTTGGTTTAATGATCATTAAACTGATGTTCAAACTCCTTCTTTGCAAGTGAGTCTTTCTGGACTAATCACCATTTCTCAGTCCAGCCAACCACAGAAGAGAATTGAGTTAGAAGAGACAGAAGAGAGATGAGTCCACGAAGAAGTAAGGAACTTATTATGATAGAAATAACAGAATAATAAGAGTTGGAAGGGACCTTAGAAGTCTTTTCATCCAACTCCCTGCTCAAGTATGAGAACCTATACCATTCCAGACCAATGGCTGTCCAATCTCTTCTTAAATACCTCCATAACACCCACAACTTCTAGAGGCAAATCTTTCCATTGATTGTGCTCACAAACAGGAAATTTCTCCTTAGTTCTAGGTTGGATTCTTTTTGATAAGTTTCCATATGTTACTTCTTGTCCTGCCCTTAGGAGCTTTGGAGAATAGGTTAACCCCCTCTTCTCCGTGACAGCCCCTCAAATATTGGAAGACTGCTATCATGTCAACCCTAGTCCTTTTATTCGTTATTTAACCGAGTTCCTGCAACCAACCATTCATTGTATGTTTTAGCTTCCAAATCCCTAATCATCTTTCTTGCTCTTCTATGTATGCTTTGTAAAGTCTCAATGTTTTGGGGTTTTTGGTATTGTGAGCAAAACTGGATGCAGCATTCCAAGTGGGGTCTTACCAGCGCAGTATAAAGCGGTACTAGTACTTCATATGATCTTGATACTATCCCTCTGTAACATTAGAACTACAGAAGGGCAAAGTATTAAACATACCGAGAGATCAATTAAAAAAATGCAGCATGTAATACATATATAAATTAATTCTAAAAATACATGCACTCAAGGTAGGGTTTTATTTATTTTTTGGGGAGACAGTGTAATTTAGTAATGAGAAAAATCACAACTGTTCAGTCAACATCCCACTACAGTTCAATAGACAGACTTTTCAGACATTTGCATCATGCCTCAAAAGCTGTTAGACCTGTCAGAGTAGAAGTTATAGCAGGGAGAAGAAATAAATGGGGGTGAACTTCAGGGAAACGTATTTGGGTGCAATGTAGAGTGTTCCTGAACAACACACATAGAGTTGCCCAATGGTGATGTGATGATGGGGAAAACCATTGGCTTTGCAATATATTAATTAGGGTCCAACTTTATTCAAGCAGTGACCTAGGAAACAAGCCAACAACCCATTCAGAAGAAAGCCAAATTCTTAAATCAGCGGATGAACTGAAGGAAGGTTATCAGGCTTCCTCGCTTTTAAAATAAAAAGCAGGGAAGAGTATGAATAGGTAGAGCTTTTCCAGTCATAAAATCGATCAAACACTCTAACTCCATCTGGAATTAAAGGAGTTAATGGGTCTCTGGGAAACCTACATTCATGAGAGATAGAGTCTTTTAACAATGGAAATCTAAAACAACAGTGTTATAGCTTTGGTGAATAAGAGCTGGGCTATTTATACTATTGGGCTTTGAATGTTCAAGACTGTGCAACCAATGAAAATAGAATCCTGTTTTCCCCTCTAGAACTGTGCATTTGTATCCACAATTCTTACTTTTCGGTTGAAGACACAGATCTGATGAAATGGATCGTAGTCCACATAATACATTGGCTAGCCTTTATCATTCTTAAGGTATTTTTGCTATCATGGACTAAGAGAATTACTGTATATTCTGGAACTTATTTTATTCTCAGGCTTTGAAGTTCCATCCGGCTTGTAGTCATAGGTCATTCCTCTACAGAGTTGATCTAATCATTCCGAAAGACCATCTACCCAGCAACCATTCCTTTTTTTTTGGTCTGTTAATGGATTCAGATGTCCTGATTAATAACTCATTCACATAGTGATAAGGGTATCAGGAGGAGACTGTCTTTCACTGAAAACTATTGTTTCTCTAAAGACAGAGTGATACTACTGATTGCCTTCTTGGGAAATGTTGAGATGACCTTATAAATTCAGGGCCACTCTTTCCTGGCTGGAGGGTGAGGCAAATGCTGGATGGCGTTGCTGAGAAACTGATGCCATGGTTCTGAAGGACATCATCCTATCATCCTCTCCCCTGCAGAAGCTTTGGAAGATGCTGGCTCATCAGAGATGTTGAAGCAGATTGGCAGCCCAGTTGGCTATTTTTACCTGAAATATGCACCAGTCTTGAACTGTACTGCAGGTAACAGCATATACCATCTAACATCTGCACAGTGGTGTGACTAACATGTAATTAAAATGGTAAACATATATTCCATATATCCTCATCCTCCTAAATGAATACACTCTAACAGCAGTGGCTAACCTTTTTGGGCTCCTGTGCCAAAAATTGTGCACGCTGGTGCTCTTGTGCCAGCACCCAGAAGGCAATGCGCGCCCCCTACCCCCACACACACAATCCCCCCCCCATACCTGCACTGCACCTCACCTGATTTTTGGATGGTTTGAGGCCTTTTTTTGGCCTCCCAGAGGCTTGAAAAAAGCCTCTGCAGGATGAATAGGCCCATTTCGTCACTTCCAGTATGAACAGGAAGTGACGAAACGGGCCTATTTGGCCTGCAGAGGCTTTTTTCAAGCCTTTGGAAGGCCAAAAAAGACCTCAAACCAGCCGAAATTCAGCTGTGAGGCACGTACATGTGCAGTGAGGTAAATTTGCTTGCGGCTTGTGTGCCGGCCCAAATGGCTCTCCATGCCACCTGTGGCACACATGCCATAGGTTCGCCATCACGGCACTATAAGATGAAGACTTCTTCATTAAAGGTTATGGGGTGGATCTACCACATTCTGAAAATTGGTAGATAGGATGTTTTTGAATTACTAGTTCAAAGTCACCCAGCCAGCTTCTGTTTCTAAGGGGGACGAGAACCTGGGTCTTCCCACTCCTAATCCAGCACCCTAACCATTAGACCATACTGGTGGTCATCTAGCTATAGATTTATACCAGGGGTGTCAAACTTGCGGCGTCACATTGTCATCACATGACGTATCATGACTTTTTCCCCCTTTGCTAAATCGGGGCTGGGCATGGCTAGCGTGTGACGTGTCTGGCTGACATCCCTGATCTATACTTATATGAATGGCTATATAAACATAAGTAGATTTTTCATTGAAATCTATCCTTTGAATTAATAAATAAGTTTATGATTTATATTTTACAAAAATAGATATTTCAATAGGAAGCTTTCACTTATGCAGTGGTACCCCGGTACTCATTGTTAATTGGTTCCAGGAGGTGCAATGAATACCAAAAATGATGAGTACCAAACTATTTTTTCCCCATAAGGAATAATCTAGTGAGTCACAAGGCGGCCGACACTGACAAGTTTTATCTTGTTTGTTGAGTACCAAACAATGAGTACCGGGACAAAATTTTCATGTCAAAATGCACTGAGTACTAAATTTGATGAATTTCAAAGCAGTTGAGTACCAAGGTACCATTGTATATGAAAAAATAGATATTTTAATATTCATTTTTATTTTTAAATATTTATTAAACTAACTATGCAAATACATTTGTAATGTTTGGAAACTGTTGGGCTGGGAGTGACATTTCAAGGGAAAAAAAGCAATTCTGTTGCAATACAATTAGATGCATTTTTCTCCCAAGTGTTGTACTAAATGAAGCTGCAAAGGAATAAGGAACATACGGGGGCTGTTGGCCCATATTAGTGTTCCCCCTTCTTCCTTTCCTGCAGGCTGATTATAGGCGTGTCTGTTGAATTGGCATCCCATGCTGTAAATACTTATTCACACAGTAGCAGATTGCATATTGTATATAGCCATTTATAAAGGCTTTGTATTATCTTATGCCAAAAAGATGGCTACGAGAGGTTAGGAAGTTGGAAGTTAGAGTGGATTTAGAAGTCCATGTATATTTGATTCAACACAATGTTCCAATGGGACTTGTTCTTTGGTAACAAGTCTCATTGGCTTCATCATAAAAGCCACTGTTTGGTTTTAAAGAGACCTTTAAATATTCTTTTGCTCTTTTGCAGTCATCCTCAGACCTAAATTGACTCAGCTACAAAAAAGGTTTTTGTGAGATCGCTAAAACTGAGTACCAATTAACTTGCTAAAACTTTTGCTGGTGAATCTGTCATAACTCAAATCTTGCTGCAATTTCTAGAGCTCTTTGCATGGATTTATATAGATTTATAGATCTTTCCATCCACAGTTTAGGGCAGGTAACAAAAGCAATATAGCACCATCACAGGATAAAACTTACTCCATTGTTAAAATATCTGAATTGTTTAAATTCTGAGAGGATTTTTTTGTTTAAGCCTAAACAGTTTGGTTTTCATCTCTTTCAAACCATAAAAGATTTCGTTGGATTATACCACTGGTTCGTCCTGCAAGGAATCCGCCTTCCAATTAATGACAAATCAATTATTGGGTTCTATGGATAATAATGGGAAAGTGTGATTTTGAACCATAATTTAATACCTACATTTAGCACGGTTTACACAATAAGCTAAAACCAAGCCAAACACATTATGGTTTAGTTCAATGTGTGAATTCCACCCACTGTAAATAAGTGTGGGACAGCATTTAGGTACAGTATCTATGTCACCTTGATATCTACCTTCCCCAGCCACTAAATGGATGGTACCCATTCTACGAACATGTGTGGAATAGAGAGATTCTGCAGATAATCCGAGAGAAAAAACATAATATGGAAAACAGAAGCATTGGAGTTTGCCAGCTTCCCATTTTGTTTTAATTAATCCAATTAAAAAAAAAATTAAACAGTTAGATTAGATCAGGAAATTGGCTGGCCCAAATACTGCAGATTGCTTGTCCATGTTTATAGGGTTGGGTATGAAATGTAGACAACCTATTCTTCAGGCTCACTGTGGGTGTCTGATGTTAAGAGAATATCAAGGGCTTCGTAACAGTCAAGCTAAAGTGTTATTCATAACTTTCTCAGGAGCATAAAATTGTACCAAGACATGGTAAAACCTGCTGTTCCACTGTACCGGCATAGGCACAATGCTGCCATTGATACTGTCCTTATTTATGGTGTACAGGATGTTTTAAGGACAAGTATAGGTGTATAGTATCTCTAGCTCTGTTTCCCTCTCTTTTTACAAAATGTCACTAATCAGTGGGAAAACAATTGACTGGTCACACAATAGGATGGAGAGAGTAGGATGGAGACAAAGAGTCCAGTTCTGATAATTGCTAGGCCAGTTTTTGCTCTGCTTATATGTGTCTCGCACACCTATGTTTGGAAGGAGTCTCAGTTGAAATAGCACAAGTCTAGAATAAGCACTCAACCCACGTTCAAGACCAAACTGGCAGATGTAGCTGACAGGCTTAGAAAGAGGTATGTGAAGCAGCAGGAAAAGAGAACTCTAATTTTCTTATTATACTGTGTAGTTGTCCATCTTGAGACTGCTTAACCAACTGTTGTTGAAACTGATCCAAAATATCTGAGCTTGGGAAGCTGATGGAGAGAGAGAAATGCCAGCTTTGAATGTGTCCAAGCATATCTGAAAGAAAGTACGCAAGGAAGGAAGGGAACATGTCTTCACCAACTTAAAATACCCAATAAATGTTGACTGAACGTTTGACTGTGGCATTGGCTTGAATGGTCAGGGAAATATATCAGATTGCACCCAGGACAGAATTGCCATAGTTTCACATGCTTAAATGGTAAAGGACTGCTGTAACACCAGAACAGTGAAGGATCAGGGATCTCCCAACCTTGGCAACTTTTAAGACTTGTGGACTTCAACTCCCAGAATTCCTCAGCCAGCTGGTTGAGGAATTCTAGGAGTTGAACTCTACAAGTCTTAAAGTTGCCAAGGTTGGAGATCCCTGTTTTAAATCACATCAGTATGCGTTGAAGAGGAGATGAAGGTAGTTATTTTGAACTGGTGGCCTTAAAAAGGGTGTGGGTACAAATAGAGAAAGACTTCCAATTTTGTTTGGCCCCAACATAGAGCATATCAGTAGGTCAGTGTTTCTCAACCTGAGCCACTTTTAAGATGGATTTCAACTCCCAGAATTCCCCAGGAGTTGAAACCCATACATCTTAAACGTTGCCCAAGTTGAGAAACACTGCAGTACTTCACTGAGTAATTCAGAGCTATATTATTTGAAGATTTGTGTTATCTGCTGCCTTAGATTCACTTATGGCATTTGTGTGATTCCTTTCCTACAGGCATTTCAAAAGGCCTTAAACCCATTATTTTATTAGTGCTTTCCTCAAAGACAACTGGGTACTACGTAATCCAACTGTTCTTATGTAGGTAATGCTGTGTATTTTCTTTGTAACATATTATTGTTCATTTGTTTTCTGCACATCATCTTGGCAAGGCTTCGCATTACTATGTGGTTTATGAGCGCCTTACATAAAGAACTAATAAGCATACCCTCCATTAGTCAGCATTGCAGATTTCACTAGCTCAGCAATCTAAGAATTCATTTTAAAACAAGCACTGTGAAATCAGTTGCTGTATTTATTTATTTACATGCTAAATTTATATCCCAGCTTTGTTTTGTAAATTTAAGATGGTGTACATAATGCTTTCTTCTTCTGTTTTCCCACAAAAATGACAGGTGAGGTTGTCGCACTGAAACAGAGTGACCCAAAGTCATTCAGCTACCAGCTGTTAGGTACAACAGGGCTCTCCAAATTGGTAACTGTTAAGACTTGTGGACTTCAATTCCCAGAATTCCCCAGCCAGCATGGTTGGTTGAGGAATTCTGGGAATTGAAATCCATAGGTCTTAAGTTGCCAAGTTGCCAAGTTTGGAGATCCCTGATATAGGACAACTGGAATTCAGTTATTTACCTCTGTGTCTAAGGAATTCCACAAAACTTTGGGAAGAGCTGCAGTATGTCCTAATGTATAAGATGACCTACTTGCACTCTTACTCAGACTGTCTCTTTGTGATCAATGAGAAGAGCTTTTCTTTTCTGCAATCTGTTTTCCCCCTTTTTCTGAAGAAATCAAATAGGGAGAGACGATTATGAAATGAGAGTCTTGTACTGTAATGCAACGGCTAAGCTTAGTTTCCTAAGAACTAAAGGGAAGGAAGAAGACATCTTAGATAACCTTTCTTTGACTGGCATTTTCCAGCTTTGCTTTTTTCCTCTTCCTGGCATAGCTTGGAATCTGAACTTTCTATCCCAGCATCTCTAGAAAGAGTTTAAGTGGCAAAAGAAAATTAAACATGCCAAGTTCCCATCTTTCTTTGCCTTTGAGGTTTGTTTTTTTTTTTAAGGCAGAATAGAATTTGGCAACTGATCTACTGAGGACAGTCCTCTATCTGGGGGCTTCTCGTGTCTGGAAGGTTCTTCAAATCTAGTTAGAAGATAAAGAACCCTAACAAGAGAGAGCAGGGTGTTTAAGTGACCTATTAACAGTGAGGCACATAATTAACAGGACATAGTCTTCTGCATTTATGTACTTAGTTTAATTCATAGTAATCATTTCTAAATTTAAGTCATTGGGGTCAACACAAGTACAGTTTATGCAAATGTATTCCATTTTAAGGGAAATCGTTTTTCACTCTTTTGGGCAATGTTGCCTAAATCGATCACCCTGGTGTGGGGGCAGTGGTGATATTTGACTGGTTCGGCTCCAAGGATCATCTATGAGTGGACTGGTTTGCTCTGATGATCAGCTGCTGGGCCTGCCTGCCTGCCCTGATACTATTCTGACCTTTTATTTCCTGGTTCTCAAGCTCAGCTGCACAGCGGATTGCCGCGCATCAGCTGTTGAAGACACAGGGAGACTGCAGGATTACATGAGGTCAGTAGCAAACCCTCTGTGCATGCGCGCACTCACTGAACTGGTTGTTACACCAGTTGAATCACACCCCTGGTGTGAGGTCTGAGTTAGCCTTTCTTATGTGGCTCATCAGTTGCCATCTCTGCTTCCGGATTCAATCAGAAAAGGTCCTAAGCATCTGGAGGCACATGGACAAATGACAGTGCTTTATAGTGAGACAATTTGTTGATCACTGGTAATCCGAAAGCCAAGACCAATAATTCTAAGAGTCTGAACTTAAGGCCTTCTCTCCAATAGGTGAATTATGGATTCTCTCCCTTTTCTTTCTGAATATGACTACTTTACTCAGGAATACCACAGAAATAGCAACCTCATTTTTTTTAAAATGCTAATCCTTTCTTTTGAATCCTGTTTATTCACTCAGTGATGAACAAAATAATAATACTTGCAGGGGAGCCTCCAAAACTTGCTAGAGTTTAACACCCACTCTCACAACCAGGAGCATCTCAGAGAACACAACGAAGGTTAATTGTAACTGGTGGTTCCAAATACTGATTTATGCTTGGCTGGGGAGAGGGAGAGAGGACAAATACACTGGAATGAGTGGACATTTGAGCAGGAACATTTTTCCTTTGGTTACTATTTGGAAGGGTTTCTACCTTGGTCTGTTTGTAAGGCCTTTCCTTTCCACATGGTCTCTGTGATCACCAGAAAAAAAGGAACCGACTCCATAGTGAGCAGCTATTATTCACAGGGCACAATGAGCCATCTTTTAGTAGAGTGCATGAATCAAAGCAGTGTGGTTAGTTCATGCTTCAGTGTATCCTACAAACTCTGTGAATATTTTAGGGGTACCACATGAACATAGCCTAACTGGATGAAGGTAAGGATTTAAGAGCCTGTATCAGTTGTATGCGTTTGAGTAGAAATTGTTTGCAGGAATAGCACATTGAATTGGGTGTCTGAATGTGCCATGTGATTTCAGACCAGCATATTGCAGTTGCAGTAGAGAGCCCGCCTCCCAACACATTTGTCTGGAAAATTTAATAATGGCATCAACAAACATCCCCGTACAGTTTTGCAAAAACTAGATGGATTAGTATAACCCAAAGAGGTTCTTTGACTCCTGTTGAATACGGCACTCTGACAAATGTTCATTTTAAAACTGTTTTGCAAATCAAATGTGCTTTCATATTGTAGGCGATGTTACTATATGGCAGGGGTGTCAAATTTATGTCGTCATGGTGGTGCCACATTACTAATCACAACTTTTCCCCCTTTGCTAAACTGGAAGTGGCCAGTGCGTGATGCATCCAGGCCGCTGGCCGTGAGTTTGACAGCCCTGCTATATGGTATCTGTTGTAGTATCCCCAGTACGTATTCATTGGAAATCCTGTTTTACTCACCAATTCCGATCATCCACTTAGCAATCTTTTGAGTTCTTGAATACAGGTAGTCAAGTTAGAATCACAACTGAGGCCAAAATTTATGTTGCTAAGTGAAACATTTGTTATGTGAGTTCACCCCATTTTACAACTTTTCCTGCCAGAGTTGTTAAGTGAATCATTACATTTGTTAAGTTAGTAATGTGGTTCTTAAATCTGGCTTCCCCCATTGACATTGGTCTTCAGAAGGTTGCAAAAAGGGGATATCACAAGACCCCAGGACAATAATAAATATGAACTAGTTGCCAAGCATCCAAATTTTGATCATGTGACATGGGGATGCTGCAAAGGTTGTAAGTGTGAGAAATGGTCGTAAATCACTTTTTTCAGTGCTGTTGTAACTTTGAACGGTCACTAAATGAACTTTTATAAGTTGAGAACTACCTGTATTCCACTAGTCTAGGATAATGGATGCAAGCCACTTGTCCCATAAATAATAGAACTTTTTTCATCCCTAGAATTGACCAAAATTCAACAGGAGCTCTGTGTAGGAGAAAAAGTGCTTACATTATTCACACACCCCTTCCTCTTGGACCTTCATCATACTTCTTATCCTGCTCTGAAGTTGCCCCCAAATCCTGCAGTTCCTGCGCCCCCATTTCCTTTCTCGTGGCCTCCATGTCTGACAGATTTTGATTCAAACTAGTAAGTAGTATTAACTTGGGTACCTGAGCTGAACTAAAATTAAATATTTTTAAACCCAACTATTACATTAAAGCAATAAACAGCATCTCCTTAAGGCTACATTCTAAGAATGCTTTACTTGGGAGCAAGTTCTGCAGCTCTCTATGGAACTTAACTTATGAGCATCCAAAAAGATCACACAGCAGGAAGTAATAAAAGAAAAACAAGTTAAGGGCACAGTGCATTTGGACATAAGGCCTGATGAACTTAGAGGTAATTTCATTCAATACTGAGCTATGT